GTTACCAAAAATGTCCAAAAGCCACACTGATACAACTTATTCTAATGATAAGCTTAAAACTTTACCTAGAATATCCATTAATAACTGCATAATCCTCAGCTGTCCATCCATTAGTGTCTTTATGGGAGACATCTGCACCATACCGAAGAAGAACTTTTATCAAATTAAGCTCCCCACCAGAAGCAGCAGTCATAAGTGGTGTTCTGAAACATCCAAAATATGGTATGAAAAAGATAGTAACAGAAATGTCTGTCTTACACAGACACTGCAATTATTTTTATTTTTATTCCTATTTGCTCTCCAAAAGAAAAAAAAAAGTATTTTCCCCATTACTCTAAAATGAACCAAAAAAAGGGCATTTGTCATTAAATATTAACAATACAATGGGACAGAAAGTCAAAACAATTAAATGTTCAATCTTTAGAAAAAGCTTCCACATAGACAACACTTACATACAAACTGTGCTCCTATGCAGGAAAGGGTTTTCTGAACTGAGGCACTGCTGCTGAGTTTCCTGCCAGAAGGGCTACTGCAGACAGTGCTTTCTTGCAATCCTCAGTGTGAGGTACCACAGCAGCCAAGAGCAGATCTGCTTTCACAGGTCACGCAGAAAGAGCTCCTTCTGCGTAGCTCTGTTTTTATTACAGAGCTCACTGCCATGCCTCTCATCAATCCAGCTGAAAGAATACTAGAGACACCCATGCACAGTTTTGACAAACTCCTCACCTTTCACACTGATCTCGAGCATGCACGTCAGCTCCTTTTTTAAGGAGAAACTCTATCACCTCTTCATGCTGTTCAGAGACAGCAAGACTAAGTGGGGTATATCCTTCCTGAAAGGACACAGAAATAAATCACGTCAAAACTCAAAGTAAAAAAACCCTTCAAGAGAAATACTAATGCAACTTTTTGAAAGAACTTCCTTAACAAACGTAAAACTTTACCTTATTCTGGGCATCAATATTGGCATTATGCTCAAGGAGCAGCCCTGCTATGGAAGTATTAGGAGACAGGACAGCCAGGTGAAGAGCAGTGTTGCCATCAGCATCTGCCAGATTCGGATCAGCACCATGCTCTAGCAGAACAGACACACATTTTTCTTGCTGGCACTGTACTGCCTGGGAGCAACACACACAAAAAAGAAAAAACATTCAGCGTTTACATTTCACTCTCTTACAATTCCTCCTGCTTCCCAATGCTGGAAAATGAGCACCTCCAAAGACTACCTAACATACACCTATTCCATGCTAATTGTAGTAAATACACTTCTACACAGGTCTGTGCAAAGAATCCTACAAGATACATAGCATTTAGTGCATAATCAATAAGCCCCACTTGCAGGAACATAACGTATTCCACATACCTTCATCAGTGGCGATCTGTTATCATTGTCAAAAAGATTTAGCTTGCATTCATTTTCTACTAGATATGTAACGACTTCCACGTGGCCGTTTGCACAAGCGAGATGCAAAGGTGTCCTAAAAATTAAACATATTAAATTAGCACAGACAGACAACTGAAGAAAGTGTTTCAGGCTGAGATAAATGGATATGGCCA